TCGTTTTGCAGTGCACACACTGATTGCGTCATTGCAGAAGACCAAGAAGCTGTGGATGCGTTTTTAGGTAAAGTTGACAGGTATGAATGATTCCCGTCTTTTCACCGGAGGCTCTATGCTTTCCATGTCAATCAGAATATTCCGTACTCAAAGGCTACACAGACTTAGGCCGACTAAAATGGTTGAACAGAAAAATGGTCCTAATTGTTCCTTCTTTAACGTTGGCACATGACGTTGCTTGTTATATATGTTGGCAGTGCTGCTGTTTTCCACAATGCAAGCCCAAGATTCTGCGATGGGGCTCGATTTGGACTTGGTGCAGAGGTAAAACATGATCTTGCAGTGACTGAAAGACAGTTATACGTCAAAGCCTTTGAGTCTTGTACTTAATTCTCTTCCCTTGCTCTACAGGTCGGGATAAGCACAAGTCGAATTCATGCTCGGGGTCCGGTAGGAGTCGAAGGACTGTTAACAACTCGATGGTAAGAAACCTCGGTTTATGTCACTACATTTTCACTTGAAGTACCAAAAGCACATTGAAGGAACGCTTTGCCTAAAACAAAAATATTGAGTTTTGATGTTTTATTGGACGTGCAGGATTCTGAGAGGACATGGACAAATTGTGGACGGTGATAAGGGGGTTACTTACACCCACAAGGACCTCCCAATTGAGCCCTAAATTTGCCATCAATCGCAACCGTCCATCTCCCATCTCCTACTTTTGAGAGAGAGAAAGAGAAGGGGGGAGAGAATAAATTACCATGTATTGGTATAATGTGTATTTTATCCCCACTCACATCAGCGCAAATTCATAAAATCTCTCTCTTTTTTTTTACTTCTAGAAAAATAATAAAATCATTTCTTTGCTTGCTCTTTCATCTCGTCTTGAATACACCTAATGCTATTTCCAAGGTTTTGGCGATCCTTCCGGATTACTAAAATTGTTATCGGCACTTGAAAAAAGTAATTTTTGACAATATATTTCTCTAGTTATCGCGCAACTTGAAAAATGCTAATAGCCAATTTGAAAGCACTCTTTTCGTCCATCAAGTCACAAATGTTTTTTATCCAAATTTTAAGTCGTTGAAGAAGAACATCAGTAGAAAATATAAGCGAGGCTACGATGAATGCAGTCGGAACTGAATTCCGTTGATCAGAACGTGAACCGGATGTCGAGCGTGAAATTTTCATATGAAAAGCAATTAGTGTTGCACAAAAGCCTCCCCAACAAAAAGACCACATCCTCAAGGTTTCAATGAACTACATAATATTCGTCTTACAACTACTGATATGATCTGTTAACTTAAAAACAGTTGGAGTTTCAGAAGTGCAGGCCAAACCGTGCTCCCGATCTCTTCTACCAGATAATGTCTTAGGGTAAAAGTTTTACGCTTCGACGAAGCTCTTAAGTTGCTGCAACCAGTTTGCATATTCTTTGCTGTCCTTGCTGAGCATGTACTCATGCAAGAAATTGGTTGTGCTGGGCTTGATCCCTCTCACCTCCAAGTACTTGTGGAATGCCTTCTGAAGGTTCTCATCCAAATCGCTGCAATACAACAGACATTTGCGTCAATCACAGAAAAATTACGAAACAATAATCTTTGATCAATGCTACAAAAGTATTAGTAATTGATGGATGCTTACTGGAAGTCAGGCCCCTCGTAGGCGATTTGATCCTCAGAATCCTCTGGATTTTTCACTGCCAAGCTGTCAATTTGAAACTCATCAGGGTAAGCAGTGACGCTAAACTCGAGAACTGGTCCATCAGTCTTGGAGACAGTTACGACCAACGGGATGCTGGATTTGTTGGCGTGTTCATCGTTGTCATCATCCTGGTTATCATCGTCGTCGTCCTCACCAGTTACTAGATCAGGCATGTGAACTTCAACCTGTATGTCTTCACCTTGATATGTTCTTTTCAGCGTCACTGTTTGGATTCCGGGAGTATCTTCAATTTTAAAAGGGAAGGATGATGGAACCTCCTCAACCTACAAAACCAGCACTTGAGTAGCGATAATCATGGTGATACTTTATCATTAACGAATCACATAATTCAAGTACAAGTAATAAATCACTTCCCGACTGCTCGAGAAGAGAAACAGAACGATAAAACATTCAAAACTACACATATGCACACAAACATCTATCGGGAATCGAATCACGAGTGCAAACAGTCACATAATCCATTGTTCCTATTCTTCTTACAAATTCCAACATGAACAATAGATTATCCAAACACACACACACACACACACACAAAACATCTATTACTAATATTTGAAGATCATGTGGTTCTTTCACAAGAAACCATTTTTCGAAAAACATACCGCTCAACAGGCAAATCAAAACCAAGTAAAATAACATAAAGCCACAGATGACAAACTTATGATCAATCTTACCATCATTAGTCTGAGATGTATTGCAAAATTAATTTAAAAGTTAACTAAATTAAGAAAATGTGAACTCTTAACTCAAGAAATCCAACAATATCTGCAATGCGCTTCAAATTAGCAGTTCCCAAAAACAATTATTCAATTTAATTGATATGAGTTTTTCATAATCCACGAAACCAAACACAACAGAGCGACTATAACCTCATTCTTGCCCATTTCCCAAAATTTTCTCAGAAACCAAACAGTCCACAAAGCAAGAGAAAATTAACTAAAAATCCTCACCTTGTCGAGATCATCGGTCTCCTCAGCGCACTTGATCTCCGACTCGATGACCCTGATCAGAGACTGGTCCGAACTGTGGCTCGAGTAGTATCGATGGGTGGGAACGAAAGGGCTCGGTTGAGTGGGCTTGCGGGAGAAATTGAAGTGGTTGGCGGCGGTGGCAACAGCGCCGTGGTAAGATCTCTGGCCGCGAGCGAGGCGGCTGGCGAGTGGGGCCAGGGAGAAGGCCGATCGGCGGAGAATTGAAGTGAAAGCCATTTGGTTTGGAGGAGAAGAGAGATGAGGGACCTGAGGGTTTAGCTAGGGTTTTAGAAACAGGGCTTTCTCTCTCTGGGGTTTTAGGGCAGTTTATATACTGACGCGGGTGTTGTTCTCTGTGGTGTCATCTATTGTATGGACTTTTGCGACCAATGTTTTGTGGACATGTCAGCATTTGAGTAGGGTTTCGTTTCAATAATTACTTTTTTTAAAGAAAAATACTTGGCATGCAAGCCAACAAGATCATTTCCGGATTTTTTTTGTAAGGATCATAGGAATTCGTAAATCCTTTGTATTTAATTTTAAATAAAAATATTTAAAATGATTTCTGACCGCACGATGTACATTGAACGGACATGATATTTGAAATCTTCTTCTTCTTTTTTTATGATATTTTATTTTGTCAAACGATAGATTTTTGTTAGATTAAATGTTGGATTAGCCACTGATAGAACCTTTGTTAGAATAGATGTTAAATTAGTCACGGATGGAGTTTGAACTCACGCCGTCATGTAATAACTCAACACATTTTCACCGCGGTAATAAAAAGTCACTTGCTTTTTTTTATGATTAAATTAATTACTTTTGTACATATATGGAATTATGATTAGGAGAAATGACTTCTTATCTACCAAAAGTCTATTGTTTATTGATCGCATTTAACGGAATTAGATCCTCTCCGAGGCAAACCCTTAGGATCCTGCTGAGCGATAAACATGGGCCATTGGATTTCGATCCAACAGCTACAATTATTATAACTTTAAGAGGGACCACCTGTTTGTAGTCGTTGAATCGAAATCCAACGGCCCGTGTTTGTCGCTCAGCAGGATCCCGAGGGTTTGCCTCGGAGAGGATCCAGGTCCGCATTTAACAACAACAAAATGGCTATTCAATATTTCACTCCTAAAACAAAATTAGAGTATATATCTATACTACAAATTTATGGCCAAAGAAGGGGAAAAGTAGGATAAGGACTGAGAGTTGGAACAAAACAAAATGAAATGTTACAGAAAATAATTTGACGAAAGTTGAAAACTAAAAATAAAATGGTTGTCGATTTATTTACAATATTTTTTTTAATATATTTATTTAGTCGTAATGATTCTTGAGATTGTCATATCTTTTTATTTTGGTCATTGAGATTTTAAATCAACAAAAGTGGTCCTTGAGTTTGTCCCATCATTTTGGTCATTCCGTTCAAAATCACCATGAAATGAGGATAAAATGACAAAAATACCCTCATTTTAGTTAAATCATTATGGCTAATCTTTAATTAAATTGAGGGTATTTTTGTCATTTTATCCTTATTTCATGAAGATTTTTCACGGAAGAACAAAAATGATTGTTGATGAACAAACTTAGGGACCACTTCTCTTGATTTCAAATCTTAAGACCAAAGTGAGGAGTTGTGCCAATTTAATAACCATTTAGCTAAAATACCTTTATTTATTTCAAGTGATATTTCAATCTAATCAGCTATGAAAAGAGAAATTAAATTTCACTGCAAAAGAGATAGTACGCTGATGTGAACTTTGGATTCAAACTATAGGCTACTATTTTTTTTTTTTAACAAACGATATCATCTACACCAAGGAGATGAGGAGTGGGGCTAAGTTTCACAATGAGCTAACAATAATATGGTTCAAATTCACCTTTGGCGAGAATCGAACCTAAAACTTCTCATTTACAAGTAAAAGTGAATACCACTAGACCGTAGTACTAAGTGGCTATCTACTAAATATTCTATGTGAATAAAATTAGCAGCAACCTCTTCATTTCAAGCCAATAGAATTCCATCCACATGTAATCCTCCTAATCTTTTGTGTTACATTAATTTATTACTTGGATAAAAAAACATTCATTGTCCCAAATTTGGTTTCTTCTTCTCCACCAAGGAAAAGGGACAAGAAGATAAATTTTGTGTGGGCTAATAAAAAATGCAATCTACCCAATGGGCTCCTATAAAAATACAATTCATTTGTGCATCTTTCTTCACATTTGAGGGCCCAAATCAAAAGGAAAACCAACAAAACTATATTTTATACTTGATAGGAGAGAGAGAGAGAGAGAGAGAGAGAGAGAGAGAGAGAGGGAAAGCAGTCTCTCAGACTTTGACTCATGAGATAGATGAGATTCCATTTCTCCCAACCCATGTCAAACATCTTTTTCTTCTTCTGCTAAAAATCCCAACTTTATCTCCGAAGGTCCCACATTTTAAGCCTCCCCTCCAAAAGTTGAGTTCTTGAGCTCTTATTGCATTAATGGTGGAGTAATATGAAAGTTAGGGCTCATTTGTAGGACTCAGAAAAGGGTCCTTTTGAGTTAGGAGAGAGAGAGAAATCTAGAGAGGGAGGGGAAGGGTAGGGAAGGGATGAAGAAGCTGTTTGGGAGCCCAGGGAAGGTGAGTGGGCTGGCACTGAGAATTGGGCAGTGCTGTTTTGCTGCTGCTGCTATTGGGGTGATGCTCTCTGCTCATGGTTTCTTCAATGCCACTGCATTTTGGTAAATATTATTTGCCCCCTTCTTTCTGTTTTACATTTTTAACTAAAAATTTCATGGAATTTGTTCTCCTCTGGTGGGTATGTGGAAATGGTTTATGTTTTTATTGATCGATTTCGGATTGGTTCAATTTGTAGCAAAATTTCACTAAGCTGGAATTCTCCGTTGATGGAAAAAAAAAATGGGTTTAGTTAGAAAGGAAAGTGGTGCACTGACGTGGGTTGGATTCCCTTGCTCAGTTTTACCAACTACATAGAAATTAATGGGGATGAATAAAGGGGGCATTTTTGCTCACCACCCTCAAATATCATCCTATTTATCACCATTGGATGAGTTTAAATTTTAAGACTTATGTCTATCCATTACACAGATCTCGAAATTTAGACTCGTTTGACAGTGATATATAGGGTGGTGAGCATCACCATCACTTGAGGATGGTGAGCAAAAATATTCCCAATGTATGCTTGGTTCTTGAGTTCTTCTATGGTTAATCTTGGCATTTGTTTAATTCGTCTACCCTCCTTTGTTGACCTCTGAGCTTAAATCTGTACAGTTTTAAGGATAAGATAAGAGATTCCGGACAATCTCCTCCTATTGAACTTATGCCTTCCACATAGGAGTCTAAAATCGTACACTGCTCCACTTATTTTGTTTGCAGAAACCTGAACATGATTAGGCATCTTTGTACGGCGACAATGGCGAATTTAAGTTATAATTATGTTTGCAGCATTCCTTCAAAGTCATCCCAATAACACCTCTCTCTCTCTCTCTTTCTCACTTAACAACAAGTCAATGAAGCCATTCCTATCGTTCTGGACAATGAATGATTTTCTTCCCCTATGAACAAATGATTTCAATTCTCCCGTTTCTAGAGAGGTTTTCTTGAGAAATTGTAACCGGGGAAATTTTCTTCTAGCTTTCATCTGTTAACATGTGCGATTCACTTGATTTTCTCTGCATAAAGCCATACCTTAGTTTCTGTGTGTTCTGATAAGTAATATGATTCTTCCCAACTCAATTGCTTGATCAATTGTGTTCATTGAACTTGGGGAGTGTTATTTGCGAGTCTAACTTCTAACGTGAATAGAGTCACGTATCTTTGCCTATTTGAATACCATGCACTATGTACCCGTTGGTGCATACTTGTGTTAGGACTTATAATCTGCTAATTTATTGGTTGCTGTCCCTGCAAGGCATAAGATTCTTCTTTTTGTCCTTTCCCATAAACAGTTAGAAGTTTACGAGCTTCTCTTTTACCAATGTTTGAATAGTTGTAAATTCTTACCTGCATTTGTTGGATGCAGTTATTTGATTGCATCAATGGGGCTTCAAGTTGTTTGGAGTTTTGGACTTGCTTGCCTTGATTTACATGCTTTGAGGTCAAAGAGAAGCTTGCAGAATCCTATTTTAGTGAGCCTATTTGTTGTCGGGGATTGGGTAAGTTTCTGCACTGATTTAGTCATAGGTTTTTGGCATTTGGTTTTCAGAAACAAGTATGTGTGGCATCCGGTAAGTTTCTGCACTGATTTAGTCATTGGTTTTTGGCATTTGGTTTTCAGAAACAAGTATGTGTGGCATCCTTAATTTTAAGGGTGATGCATTATTTTCATATTTTTTATGGACTGGAGATGTTGGACCAGTGATTTGGAGAAGTTTTCAGAGAATTTATGCACTTATAAACTGAAACTTATCCTGATCACGTGGAACAAATGTTGGATCATCGGGGACAACTAAGTAGCTTAAAAATGTTTGAGAAAACATGGTCAGCTGAAAACTTCACTTCTGATGTGTGATCTTCAGGATACTGATTAACTTAGAAATGAGTAAAGCTTTCGGGGATCCTTCACTACACTTGAAACTAATACAATACATAATATTTACTAACATTTCCTGGAAAAAGTATCACCTTCACAGTAAAATGTCTTGATATTTGGAAATTAAGAGGGCATAATTTTAACTCCTAAATCCTAATACTTGGGGTCTGATGCATGAATGTCAAAATTTCCATTCAGCAAGTACGGAGCCATTGATAAAGATTCATTGTGCTTTAATCGTTTCTTGTAGCTATTGCACTACCACTACTAAACAGATTGTTTACTTTTGAGTTCTGATTCTGTTTATGGTTCGGTGTACAAATACGGAAGCGATTTCTGTATCAATTAATTCATGTTTAACAAAAATGAAAATTGCAGGTGACGTCTACGCTGTCATTGGCGGCTGCATGCTCATCAGCGGGGGTGACAGTTCTGTACTCAAAAGATTTGAATTACTGCAGGCCAATGCATCTTCCGTGCAGCAAGTTCCAAATCGCCGTTGCCTTCGCCTTCATCTCATGGTTTCTCCTCGCTGTTTCGTCAATTGTCATGTTTCGGTTGTTAGGCGCAGTATGAGTTTGACAAAACTCTACATATTCTTCAATCCTCCCCTGTAAATATGTCTGAGAACTATGGCCCCTATATGGAGCGAAATCCAGTACAAAGGGGATGCACTGGGCAGTATCTCAAGTCAGCCGCGCATGTAGCCTTGAGATACTGCACGACATTTCCGTTGCATGGAAGTCCTTCTCCGTCTTCAGGTGTGGGGTCCATGACTTGAAAATGATCGTGTGTGTTAATTTTTGCAATGGAAGTAGCTCTCATGAGTGTAACCATATCGTTATATTATTGGTTATCTTTGCTTTGCTTTATTTTATTTGGTTGAAAATTCGGAAAGTGTGGTGGAATTTCACATGGTTTTTTACCACACTTGCTTCTCCTTTTGTCTTTTTCTATTTTTAATTTCCCATTTTGCCCCTGATTAGTGCATTTTCTTTTAATTAGTGACACTTAATCAAGGGCATCATTGTCTGTCAAAATCTGGGAGATTTAGATGGGTGAGCTGCTCATCCACGTCATAGATAAATGTGTGACAATAATTTCAATACCTAACTCCCTTTTCATTTGGTTCTAAAAAAGGCCTAAACTTCCACTTATGTGCCTCTCTGTCTCGCTCAATAGAATAATTGCAGTTTTGGACCAAGTCAATGAGTCATAGGATTTGCCTTGTGTTTGAGGAAACGGACAAGTGGTCCATGACATCTCTTTCTCGTTTGATCGGACCAGAAAAAGAAGAATATTCGAATCCGCAGAGGATCGAGCGACTAAGAGCACTAACCCATGCACCCGAAACTGTCCTTAGTTCTCCTCTTTTCTTTTATAGTATCATCTATGACAAAAGAAAGAAAAAACACCAGGCAAGGCTTGGTACGAAACTACTCTAATCAACGGGGGTAGGAAGGCACAACCGTGCCGCATATTGCTTTGACCAACTGGCATAAACCCCACATATGAAAGAGTTTGACAGAACAAGTTTTGGGTCCGCCAATGAAACAATTCACATAATATATGCCGCCGACACTTTGATCATGGAATCTTCCCGGATCAAAGTGCCACTTAATTTAATAACCCAAAAAAAAATCATATATTAATAATAACAAAGAATTCAAGCTTGATTGACAAGTAACACAGCCAGAGAGGCACTCATAAATTCATTCCTTTATACACTAAACATACACAATTCACAGCAATTCAAGTAACAGAGGACAACAACGACCCCAAAACTTCAAAAAAAAAAAACACACAAAGAAGGAGCAGCAGAGCCTTTGCGCTGTATAAAAAGGAAACAGGAAGGATAAAAGTAACAAATACATATCGAACAACGTAGCTTACCACCTCTCACCGACCCTACATTACAATTTCCGGCTTCAAAATGCTCGACTTGATTTCTTTGTGTGGCAATACCACACCTCCGTTGCTGTAAATCTCATCGCCCACGTGCACATCTTCTCCAAGGATGGTCATGTTCTCTACGCGAGCCCATTGTCCAACGGTGGAGTGCCATCCGATGATGCTGCTGGAAATGCAAGCGTGGTTCTTGATGCGGACTCCACGCATTACTGTGCAGCGAGAGAGCCTGACTCCTGACTCAATAACGCAGCCTGGACCGATTGCAACATCCGGTCCAATCAGGCACCCCTCGCCAATTTTGGCAGTCTCGTCCACCAGAACGTTTCCCACAATGTGGGCGCCTACGGCCAACTTGGATGAAGAGTTCTTCCTCAACGAATCCAAGTATAGCCTCAGACCGGTAATATAATCCCTTGGTTGCCCAATGTCCATCCAAAACCCTGGAAGGACCATTGCAAAGAGCTTATTCTCTGCTGCGATTTTCGGGAATACTTCTTTCTCAATTGAGGTTGGTCTGAGTTCAATTTTATCAAGAACGGAGGGGTTCAACAGGTAAATTCCAGCATTGATTTTGTTACCAACAAACAACTTTGGTTTCTCTACAAATTTCTGAACTTTCCCTGTAGACTCTTCCATAACCACCACACCATATTTTGATGGCTCATCCACCTATATGAAAAGAAGAAATTATTTTCAGTGACATTTGTCTTAAAGTCTCAAAAATGCCTCCAAGGCTCCAAGGAAGCTGGGTGCAAAGTATCGGGTAGAATTAAAATTAGTGTTACCTTGGTCACCATTATGGAAGCTTCTCCTCCATGGCCCTTATGGAATTCAATCATTTGCTTAAACGGGTACTCGCTGATAACATCACTGTTAAGGACAAAGAAGGGCTTGCCAGAATCATCAATCAGTTTGTCCCTAGCAAGAGCCAGAGGCCCAGCAGTGCCAAGGGGCTCGGTCTCTTGGGAGCATGTGATCTTGATGCCAACCTTTTCCTCAAACTCCTTCAAGAAAGTCATCATCACCTGCAGAAATGATAACGAGCATAAGCATTCAAAGAAACCTTCGGTAGCATGAATCTCTTCACAAAATGGTGACCTCGCCTACCTCTGGTTGGTAATTGATAGCCAGAACCACTTCGGTCACACCTATTGCCTTAAGCGCCTCTATCTGAAAGTAAAAAAACAAAAACAAAAACAAAAAATTGTAACATTTCATGATTTATACGATCACAAAAGCACCATACATACAACACAAAGAGTGGGGATTTGATGTACGCACTATATTTTGACGTTTTTGATAATTCCACAAAAGGAAATCCACTAGATCAAACGAAAAAAGAAAACATTTCCCAATTGCTAGAGAAATAGTACCTGATGCAGTATCATGGGTTTGTTAGCAAACTCAACAAGTGGCTTGGGGAAACTGAGTGTCAATGGCCGCAGACGCGTCCCGAAACCTCCAACAAGAATAAGTGCCTTCATTTTGATATGCCCTCTGCTTTCCCTGGTAATATTAATATAGTCAGAAAATCTTACAGGCAACTTCAACTCAGGTAATAATACACTCTTAAGTTCAACATTCAGGTCATTTCTTTATCCTCTCAAACACATTAATCATCACAAAAAATCACATTCCCGGTTCACCGACATCCGAAAACCCGAAAAGCTCAAGACTTCAGCTACCATAGAAGCTACTTTCTAGCTAAATAATTCCCCGTTAAGCAAATATAATACGCGCCTTTTGTATGGCTTGAGCAACTTTAATCGGGAAAATTCCAACAAAAATCATAGAAACTCTATGTGCTGACATTACCAGCGCAATTAATCACAGAAACTTCACCAGATCTGACATTACAAATGAAATTCATCCAAAAAATACTTCGACGAAGAATTCAAAGCTCAAAATACCCCAGAAATTGGCAAAATTAGGAATCGAAGCAATCAAATTAATCAACTTTTTGAACAATTCAATCCAAAATTGCGAACACATTGCCAAAAACTTCCGATCAAAATCGACGCCCAATGAACACTGAATTACCTCGGATCTCAGCAGATCAGAACCCGAACGGAGTCCGCCGCCGCAAATCGAGTTCGGACTCGGACGAGTGGGGAATCGGGTCGTCGAGAGCGAGTTGGCGCTAGTGGTATTGTTTTTCCAGCCGCGTCGGATTTGTACTTATACGCGCTGAGGGGAGATATTATGAACGTGGATTTCTGGCGGATCTCAAATTAAAATATTAATTCTGTTTTTCTATTAAATTTTGGGTCTCGTCCTCGGAAAGCACCTCTCTAGATCCCTCTCCACCTAATTCATTTAGTTTGAAATTATGATCGTTAAAATTTGATCAAACGGTTACAATTATTTTTAAAAAACTCTTTATTTGTAATCGTTTGATCAAATTTTAACTGCTCGAATTCCGAATTAGATGGATTAGGTAGAAAGGAACCGGCCCACGTCCTCCTGGCGCTAAGCTAAGGCTTTCTTACGCGCACTTTCGGGGTAGTTTCGTACTTTCGTCTGTTTATGTTGTGGATAAATTTGTACTGTAAAGTATGAAAGTATGATTCTTTTGTTTTTGGCGAAAATTATGGATTCTAGAAAGGGAGGGAGTTCTATTGGGAAAGGATAAAAAGGGGATTTGGGTGTGAATAGTTATAGTAATCGTAATTTACGGTGATTTATTTCATTTTTTATAACTAACACGGCATTTTTTAAGTTCAATTCTCGGCGCTAAAAAATCATACAATAAATGTTGTGAGTATTTCTGATACCCTGACACATAAACTGCCGTGACCAAGTCGGTATTTGATTTTTTTTAAGAGTTAATAATGGCTGTGATTATGTTGCATGGAGTTAGCCAATCAGTAATGAGGAATGACGATGATGATAGTGTCTCAATCAAGCACAACCAAACACTGCAAATTTTGGGCTTAGCCAAGTTCAGGGAAAATTTTTAGTTGTGACAGGAACACGAATGGTACACCATGTGTTTTTATGTAAGTGGTGAAAATTTTTAATTTTTAAGCTATTAACTTTTAACACACATATCCAACCATTTACATAGATACACGTGGTGTACCGCCTTGTGTGACGGTCACACTGAAAAATCTCTCCAAGATTAGAGCCGAGTGCTACACTCCTCGCCTTTTCACGCAAGTTAAAATCTCTCTCGTTGTAATTTAAATAATTTAAATATAGAATAATCGTTTATTGAAAAGAATATTCTCTCTACATAAATAGGGTTTTGTTTTGTAGATGAAAAATTATTTTTTTGTTATTAAATAAATTAATTCTAATTCCCTTATTATTCATAAATTTCATGCTAAGCATAATTTATTTTCTCAAGCTAGGGATGAGCCAGATCAAATTTTCTGCATCCAAAATAGTTGTGGCATTTCTGTGGCCTCAATCATTGACTGACACATGATTATAAATTTAACTTTTTTAAATTTTGTTGTAAAAGACTGTTTACTACCCTCATGTTTCATGGTTTTCAACATTTAGTACATCAAGTTTTTTTCGTCTCAGAGTCATACCTAAAGTGTACATTTTGGGACAATCTCATACATCTGTTAGTCAAACTGTTAAATCTGCCGTTAATTGTGACGTGGCGTCCATGTGGACAATGACTGGGCGCCACGTGTCAGTCACGTTTTTTTTTTCCTTCTTTCTTCTTCTTCTTCCTCCGACTGCAACTTTTTTTTTCTTCCTCCTTCTCCTTCTTCCTTCCTCCTTCTTCCTTCCCCTTCTTCTCCTTCTTCCTTCTTCTTCCTTCTCCCTTCTCCCTTCTCCTTTTCCTTCTTCTTCCTCCGAATCTGGGGAAGTTTTTTTTTTTTTTTTTCTTCTTCCTCCTTCCTTCTTCCTTCTCCTTCCTCATTCTTCCTTCTTCTTCTTTCGAATCAGCCCAGATTCAGTTTTTTTTTTCTTCTTCTTTCTTCTTCTCCCTCCTTCTTCCTCCTTCTTCCTTCCCCTTCTCCTTCTTC